TTAGTAAGAGGAGCATTTTCTGTATGGAAAACAATCAGTTACTAACAACTTACCAAACCATTATACTTTATAAAGGTGGTCGTATACAAGCATACTCACTTGTTTCGCTTTATTTTGCAATACTTTGTTTTAAATCTTATGCTTAACATATTTACTTGCATGTAAATTTAAATTTCGTTACATCTCTTTCCTTAAATAATTAAACGAGCGTTTAATCCTACTATGTATATAGTATTTTATATTGTATGCATGTATACAATGTTCACTTGATGTGGGTCCTGAGTGACCAAACTAAAATTGAGGCTACTCAAGCTACCTTCTCTTCCTCAAATGTTTTTCATACTCTATCTCTCTCTTACTCTATTTAATTATATTCAAAAGCATCAAATAGTTCCTTCTCTATTTTCTACACTTTTTCTTTCTTTCAGAATGTTGGCTGTTTTTAATATTTTTATAACCTCTTAACCTTCCGCTTCGATGTCAATTCCCAATGGTCCAAAATTCGCTGTGTTGGACAAATATATTTTTTACCTTGACCATATGCTTGACCAGTAGGTAATATTGGATTCATAGCCCTTTGCAGGAGGTTTTGAGTTCACATAATGGATGTATATGGAAGGTGCGAAAATCAAAATAATGACCTCATATATCATGCCTATAACATTTAAGCATTACAACACAAGTACCAGACTTTGTAGCACACCGGTTTATAGAAAGAGTTTGAAAACTATTAAAACGAAGTGTTGATTCCTTACTATAATTTGTTCTGAGGCTCCACTTTGTCCCTAGTTCACATAAGCTTTTCGTAAGCTGACAACATGCCACATTAAATACCAGGACTAATGTTATATCCTCTTTACTTGACATAAATTAGTCAGGCTAATGAATGAAGCTAAGCCGAAATTTTTCACCTTTAACGTTCTCAGGATGCTAATCTTACGTTAAAACTAAAGGCTGTGTACCTGAGCTTATCGAATCGCCTGTCAACTTGGATTTAAGAGCAAATTTTTAATTCAAATCGCACGGTTATCTATTTAATAGTTAACTAGTAATTATTATTAATTGAAGAATTCCTTGTTTGCAAGATTTGCCTGGACTGCCTACAATTAAGAGATCTATTCACCCTAGTCCATTTAAAGTGCTGAAGATGTGTTAGTTGAATTTCCCCATAACGAAGAGTAGGCCTAAAGCTTTTATTGAATTTCACATAACCTCACTCCCCAAAAGGTATTTTATCCAGACTAGACTGAAGTTTCGACCTCGCCTTGGCCTCATCAACACTCCCAGTATGACTCGAAACTAGTGCTACGCAGTCTCTACACGTTAAGTGCTACGCCTAAATGCCACGAGATCCTTTGGTTCAAAAGGGCAGAAGTAAATTTCAAGGGAGCATGAACCTTTTCTTTATCACATTTCTGTGGTGGGGCTATCTACGAGAAGTAATACATCCAGAATGAGCATACCTTTTTGTAAGCAAAGCTATGTGAAATTCGATGAAAACGTGAAGCTCATTCATAGCACTATGTGAAAATTCAACTACCAGTCCTTTATCAGCTTAACCAAAATATGGTGAATACACGTTTGATTTTTTATCTACTGTCAGTCTCGAAAATTAACTTATAAACGGAAACTGGGTACAAATAAATAGTTATATGCAACACATAAATAGTATTATCTGTACCAATCAAAAGTGGAAAAATTCCCTATTGAATTTTTGTAAGAACATGAGCAATTAGATTAGCCTTCAGGCCTTTAGGTAAGCCTTTAATTATAATCTCGTATGTTTCATATTAATCTAAATCATGCATACTTTTTCCACATCTTTTGCCCTATCCATAAGTATCACTACTTCTCCCTTTATCTGCCATAAAATCACTTTACTGATTTTTCAAAGTTTCTTTATGATGTTGATGATTTTATACTCACAAAGAATACCTCTGAATGGCTATCATTTGGAGGAAGAACATGCAAATTAATATCCATCTTATTCTTCCCTGATAATACACCCGTCAAGCCTAAATGATCTAGCATTATTTCTTCTTTGAAATTCTTACTTGGCAAGGTTCCTTACAAACCCTTGAAAAGTAAATTATTTGATAAAAACTTTTCTTCATGTATTTTCTACTTTTTCTTTATGGGTTTTTGATTGATTCTGGACTTTATTTCTAACATTCAAGCAGAATTAACCTATCCGTTGCAATGTGTATTCATAGCTTTCATTCGTAAATCTTAGGTTGTCCTTCACAAAATTTGTTTAAATGAAAGATCCGAGCATATATTGAACAATATTTAAGTTCGTTTTGTGAAAAGAATAGTCAGATCTAGTTATTTAAAGCTCAACTGATAGTGTATCAGTGCTGTTAATAATAACATAAGGCTGAAATTTGTATGCTTGTGTAAGTTCACAATATGGATTGATAGTCATAAATAACATCTATTAACAACAGAAAAAAGTCGTATTTGCATTAGAGGCAACTCATATCTAATGATGAGGTAAGTGGTGAAACTCCGTTGTGATGTGGCTCATTATAGTGAGAAGGATCTAAGATATACAAATAATTGTATTTGGTAATCAGAGGAATATATGCCAATAATATGCTTAGAAAGGAGATACTGTACTGCATTCATTTAAAGAATATGCAGAAGATTTAGCTGAAGCCTCTTACCTTAACTTCACAAGTAATTTACCTCTTTCCATAACTAATACGTTTTGAACAAGTGCTTCTACATTACCATCCTTAAGGATAATAATGATATAAAATCTTTGTTTGTTCAAAATAAAAGTGTCTCGATCCGATTATACAAAAAATTCAAATTTATTGTATTGGTTCATGTACACTTGAAACGGTCAAGATGAAAAATTACAAGGGAGAATTGATAGTAACAGCAGAAGCAGTTCTGAAGGAAGCAGCCCGACTGATGACAGCAAAAAAGCGAACAATAGAAAATAATACTTGAATAGTTTATGTAATATGAGAATCTTTAAATCTAAACCGGTAAAGATTACCGTTCGCTGTGAAGTAGGCCAATTGGCCCAAGTCATTCTGATCAAGCTGCTCAATGCCAGGCCGACGTCGGAATGTGGTACAGATTAGCTCGATTCTCAAGTGTTCGGACGGTTTCGTGATTCTGTAGAGACTTGGAGTCGCTTCCCCTGGTGACCAAGCAATATAAGCCAGTGATCCAGTTATCGCATCTAAAACGAGGAGACGATTCGCATCGTAAGCGGCAATTCGGCCGGGGCAGAGGTCGGAAAATTCCCAAGAGACAACCTGTTGGAGGTAAAAGTATTACTGAGCATTATTAGTTAGAAATATTTTTCCTTCTTCGGCAGGAATTATTAGTCGCCGATACAGCCCAGTAAAGTTTCACAGCTATATGCACAATCAAAGTTTAGAGTTAGGTTTGTTTAAGGTTTGAAAGCTAAAATTTAATTTTAGGGGAACCATTAAGTCACAGTGACTTCTCGATTATATTTAAAGAGATCTATTCGCAAATTAGTTAATTAATCTTTGTACCGTTTATTTAATTTAAATTTTTGTTTACATCATTTCTTTTTATCAGCTAGAAAATAATCTCTGTACATCATCCAAACTTGTATTACTAGCACATATATACTAAAAGCGACGTATTGAATTACTGCATGTGGTATGAAATGCAGATAATCCTGACGAGATTATCTATCTGCGGAATACACTCATAAATCATCAAAAGCTACCAAAACTAGGCTAAAAAAAGGAAAATAATGATTGTATATTTGAGGAAATCAAACAAAATTCGAATAACAAAGCTCTTAGAATACAGAACTACTCATAAGTCAAGCATAAATTTTCCATTATTTAAGTCATGAATTCATTTTATTCTAGCTCGAGACTGACTCAGAGGTGGTAAATTAGAGTAACTTTATTATAGTGATGGGGTTCTAGAAAAGTAATATTTTTTAATACTTTAAATTATTTAAGGCTTTCTTTATGAATTCTTTATCGAGAAGTATTAGTAAGGAAAATCCTCTTTAAAAATGACATAGTGTGAACATATTTTAAATGTTTTAACGTCTTGATTAACATATTAAGGATTCTAGGGTATTTAAAGTTTCAGAGCTATAAGCTTAAATTCGCTTTACAAATCTGTAATCATATTAGGCTTAGACTTATTGGAGAGATAAGAAATATAGAGAGAAGCTTGGAAAAGTTATAATAAAATCTAACCCTATTTGGTGGAATGTTCCAATGAGAGTCTGCCATACGTCTCAAAATGTGCTAAAGCAAATAGGAGTCTCGAAGTATACTAATTCGGGTAGATTGCAAATGTTCCGATTCATTTTGTGTGAGAGTAAATCTATAGTAAAAAAACTAATATTTACCTTTCAACCTATCCTTGTAGGATATAGTGTATCCTGCTGCATCTCCTGCAAAATTCATTTCTTTAACTAGAATTAGTTTGCCATAAACTCACCCTTGTTCTAACAGTGTGAGTGATTGGATTATGTGTTTCGTGTATTAGTGTTTTCAACTGAATTCGCATGTTACATGTTATTTTTTAATAAAAAACAATTCCTTTACTAATGCAATATACTAATCCGTCTATAGCTAGCATTATTAGTTACTCCCTCCTCATAAGAAGGCCTGGCAACAGATATTATAAGTAGAATTAAAATTTCTGGTAGATAGAAATCCCATTCGTTGCCTGGCTAAAAATATTGTTAGACAAGATATATGAAAAATCGAAATAGTCGAGCAAAATTATTTTCTGAACTATATCTAAAAAAATCATTTAGCCTATTTTAGAGGGAGTATGAAAATTGAGTTCAGAGGAAGAAGTGATATTTCCATTTATATAATTTATTTTCCAAGTTTCAAGTCAAAGGGCTAATTCCGTTTTTGGCCTTTCTCACAGTGAGCCATACTTGAAGACATTCGAAAAAAAGACGAGAACGTTGTTAAGGCAAATTAATATTAAATGCGCTTTAATATAGGGCCGATTCAAAGGGCTAAGAGGATCTGCTTGACCTTGACGTGAGGAAAATGTTATAAGATTAAGATGTAATCTCTATTGCGAAGGGTACTATTGTAAACTAAAACCTATGGCCCTTATGAACGCGTTACTCCAGAAGTTTCACACCTTGAGAAATCGATAATGTATTCGTAAATTTATAATCACAATGATTTTTAATGCTTGTTGGGGACGAATGTAGGCCTGCTTAACACACCTCAAACTTGAATTTTTGGAACGGTTCACGAGGCCAAAGAGTGACTTTTTCCAGTAGTATTCAATCGCTTCAATAAGGTTCAAATCAGGTTTCTCCAAACTAGTTATAGCATATTTGATCTGCACACTTTCAAGCATTTAATCTTGGATCACTCGGCTCATAGAAAATTGTTACATTCTATCACCCACATCTCTATATTAGATAATAGGAGTAAATATACTTATATAGTAGACTACTTGCAATCTGATTTTTTTAGTAAGGGAATATCAATCTTACGATGTAATTTAGTTGATAGAATGTAAAAGTAAGCCTGAATTGATACAGTATTAACGTCTTGCAACAGCGATCTGAATGATCTGAGTCCTACTCCAAATTGATTATGAAGCTATCATTCCTCATCACGAAGGCCAAATAGGCAGGTGCATATGAAAGATTAAATAAGCCATATATATTAACTGAGATGTATTCCCCCTATTTCGTTTAAAGTGATGAAGGATTGGTAGTAGGATTATTCTACAATGATATGAGTAGAGCTGATATTTCCATTGAATTTCACATAGTCTTTCTTTCCCCAAAGTTGTTCTTATCCAGGGTGAACTACAGTTTTGATCTTGCATAGGTCTTATCAACAACCCCAGCGGGAGATTCTGAATCAAAATTATTGATGCTGCAGATTGAAAAGTTCACTGGTATGGATGCCACAATGGATAGAAGTCTGCGAGGCACTCGCGCTAGCGTAAGGTTTACTTTGCTTCTAACTAAGCCAATTAAGGGTTGATATAAAAAGATAAAATAACTTTAGCTGTATAAATACGCTAATAAGTGAATATGCAACAATGATTATAGGTAAATTCAGGCTTTCCTTCGTTTGCGCAAGTGAGGTAATCCCTTCAAAGGATACTCTATTAAAAATTGATGAAAAATAATGCTCTTCTGTCATAAACGTATTTAAACTGAAGCCTTAAAAATTGCTTAAATGTGATTAATACTATTATATTAGCGTTTTTGAACTGTTTTATGGAATAATCTGTCTCCGAATAAATAGTTTTTCAAAGTTCATATACTGTGTTTCTAGTTTAAATCCAACCTCCCTTAATCTCTAGTTTAAACATTTAACTAAAACCAACCGGAGTACAAGCGGTATTGAGAAAGTACTTGTCATATGTACCCATTTCATCAACTACGAACATTTCAGAAGACAATTTTTTATACACGATTAGTAGAATGATCTCATGGTAAATGGATGAAGATTGCTTTGGAGTTGTGATTGATGATTTATGCATAACGTTCTGTGACTCGGAAGATTCTTATCTAATTTTTTGCCTGACATGTGACAGGAATTATGGGGACCAGAAACGGTACTTTAAGAACATTTACCAAAAACTAAGCCAAGAATAGAGGGCAGCTACAAGCCTGCGTATTTCTTATAACCTAATGCTGTTATCTTAATGAAGAATTTTGTGAGATTGTTGCGGTTAGATAAAATGAATAATAAGGGCCATTGTGCCAGTAGATGTAATATTATTTTTCGAATTAAGTATTGTTTTTGTGAGATCGAAACTGCAGTCCACCTTTTAAGTGAACAACTTTGGGGAAATCAAGACTATATAAAATTTAATGGAAACGTCAGCTCAACCCATAT